CTTATGAAACAAAGAGAAAATGAAAAGCTCCTCCAACAGAGAAGCCATTAGTTTGGCCACATACCAACCCCTCTTGCCACTATTGCATCCCAGCAGAAATAGTACCACCCAAGCTATACGGGAGCTATTTGTAGCTGCAGAGGAGGATACCGCGTTTGACCCCCACAAAAGAAGAACAAGAATTTTGGCTTGGTTTTTTTTCTATAATGGCGTCATTTATCACTATGACACACATTCATTGACTTAGCCTGAATTTTTTCAGTGTCAGATTTATACTTCTTTTCTGTTTTGAATATTGATGCAGCACTTCCCTTACGTGACTATACTGTGTCTGCCAAATGGTGTCTAGACGCTAGAGCAGCTTTGACTAATTAATGTAGTCACCCCAGTCACTCAGCTCTGGCATTTATGTACTCTTTATGTTCCTGCTGTCGAGCCATAAATAGGTACCTAAACACAAGCAGCAATGTAAAGAGAGGCAGCAGTGAGCACACCCAGACTTCACCTAACATCATCGAGGTGAGCGCAGAGGACAGCAGCCATCGCTCCCTGCATTCACCAACAGGGCAAGTAGTTGTAGCCACTCACTTGGACATCACAGCGCACATGTATGCAGTCAGCACGAGGTCCAGATTTGATGCCTCTCTTGATCTGAAAATCACCAATGCAAAGGCAAGGCTACAAGAGAAGTTTTTTCTCTCTCAAGGCTCAGCCCCTGCATACCAGCAACTGAAGTTGCATACAGCCAGAGAGCAAAAAAGATGTAAAAGAAATCAACGTCTACTAGCCCAGCGATAGGGGTACTTCTTGGGGAGGACTCATGTGTCTGGTTTGTAGAGTTGCTTTCTAGTAGGCCATGATGTACACCAGATCCAAACTAAAACTGCAGTTTTAGAAATTTTATGCAACTTCATCATTTATATCATGCTTTTAAATATTGCACCCATACTGAAGCTGAGTTGACCAGCTTTAACAAGGGAGAACTGATAAATATCAAAGGTAACTTCAGAACATCAAAGAACTTTTACAAAACCTTGAAAATAAAATATAGTGAAAACCTAATCAATGTTGCCTACGCAACAGGCTGTGCTAATATAAAATTGAATTGCCTGAAAAATTATATGCAGATTAAACACAATACTGCTATTAACAAAGCTTATTTGTAAGCAAAATTTGAAAGTTTTGATTTATCCTGCTACGTATTTGAAGAACTACTATCATAAGGAGAACAAATTAACTTTGTTTTCTTTGTATTTTTAACTGTTACAAATGATTTTATTGGTGCTAGTACAAAGCATTAGAGAATAGCAGGTTTGGGATTTTTTTCTCTTCTCTTCAGAAAGACTGTTGTTTGAGCAGATTTTCTTTGAATTTGCCAATAGGATTATTCTTATTTTCTCAGTTAGTGGTATACAAAATATTTAAAGAAAGCTTTCCAGAAGATCTGCAGTTTACTTTGAGGAGATTTTCCAAGGCTAAGGTAGGACTCATTTAATTTGTGGGTTTTTTTGCCCTACAAAGAGAAGATTTTTTTTTTTTTTTTTTTTTTCCCCTTCCTGGGAAGAAGATTTCTGGGTGGTTCTCTTCAGGTCCTTTTTTTTTATGCAAGGGAGAGGAAAAAATCATTAATGCTGCTGTGCGCAAAGAGGTTTTGCAGTTCTTCAACAGAAAAAGAAATTAATAGTTCCTTTTAGATGTGGCCCTCTACATGTTACGTACAACATAAAACTGCCTGTCTGTCTCTATCCAGCCATCTAGCAAATAGATATGTATATGTACATTGCATGTGTCAAATTGTGCACACTTGAAGGCACGCATGTTGCAAGCTGTTTGTTCTTTAGATTACCAAACTGCTCAGTCACGGGTTCGATACTTACCCACAAGTTTACTACCTCCAAGTTGCTTCCTGCTG